TTCGCGCATGTTCAGATCAGTCATATTGACCGATGCTTTTCCTTTTCCATCGCGCTGGGTTGGAGACTTTGCTCGTAGGCTAGTATTATAACAGATATGCGCTGCTTTTTGGTCGCCCCTAATGGCAACTATCGCGCCAGTCGAATCGCGGAATTTCATTAGAAGATGGGGCATAGAAATGATTGCCTTTAACGCGAAAATGGTTGGTCTTCCTAAGATAACGTTATATGCAGATGCATATTCAATGACATAGAAACGCACTTTGATAGTACGAGCCAGAGGCATAATTCCAAAGGTTACCCACATTTCAATGGTACCTTTGGGTTGTACGCACTCTCCGGCAAAACCAATTAAATCCGAACATCTAGGGATTAGATTTTCTTCTGGGATGTGCATTGTGCGAACATCCCATAAAATAATATCGGCAGAACAACCATTATCAATCATAATACGTTTACCTGGAGATTAGCCATGCAAGCTGAGATTACTAGTGGGTCATCGTAGTCTAGAATGATGTCGCCATAATCATCATCGTCAAAACTTATGGCCTGCCTCAGGGCGTGAGAAGTAGAGGAGCGTGCATGATCGCGCACTGTCATTACAGACTTTAAATGCTTTTTGCGTTGGGAACTAGTCGCGCCTCCTCTTGCTATTCCGCCGGCGATGGTGGCCAATACTCCTGCCACGTTATTGGGTAGCTGACGCGGTTGCTGTTGTGCGGCATGCTGTCTATTTCGCGGTGGAGTTCCTTGGCGTCTGTTAGTAGGATCGTCCCACGCGTTCCTACGATCATTGTTTCGAGCAGGATTGTAATCCCTCCTGGGATATGCCCTTTGTTGATTAGGATTTTGGTCGTGATCTGGACTTCTATCGCGTCTTCTTTGTGCCTTATATTCTCTGCAACTGGAAATAAATTCCTGGAGTTTCCCAGCTCTTATAAGTATTTCAATGGTATTTTTCAAATCGAAACATTCATCAGTTGTATGCCATGTATCGTTGTGGAACTCGCAAAATTTGGTTTCATTGCGCTGCCCTCCTTTTTTTCATTGGAGGAGGTTTGTTAACGCACACATGACCCGTTTGGAATACTTCTTTCAAAATCCATCTTTGGGATGTGTTCAAAAGAGTATAATTGTCATATCTTTCCCATTTCCTCTTTTCACGGAACTTTCGTTGAACATTCTTTTGGACATCTCTTTCAAAGGTGTCTGTGTCTGCTTTGGTATTGGAAATTTCACGTGACCGCTTGTAATCTTCCAGATTAATAAATTTTTCTGATCGCGCACGCAATTCTTCAATGGTACGTGGTCGCTGTTTGGCTAACGACATAGAGAAAGGGCCTTCCAGTAGTCCTTCAGTAATGAGATGTAGGGAGACTTGTGGGTCCAAGTCTCTGACTAGGAGTGCTTCATCAAAAAATCTGTTGAGGTAATCACGCAATGTTTTGTTTGGTCCTTGTCGCACAGTTTTCAACGCATGGGTGGATTTGTATTGCGCTTTGCTTGTTGTAAACCGTATAAGGAATTAGTTGGTTAAGTCCTCCCAACTTTGTACTGAATTGGGTGATAGTGCGGAATACCACCTGAGTGCTGTCTCCTTTAAGGTTGTTGGGAACAACCGACACGCTATTGGATCAGCTACATCTTGTGCCATCATGTTGGTCTGGAATTGTTTCAGATGTTCCTGCGGATCTCCCTTCCCGTTGTACTTTTTAGTTGTAATCTTGACGTCTCTAGGGATTGAGATGTTCATTATACATGGAGTAAACAGGTGGAGAATTCGAGAAACTGTCCCAGAATTCCCATGAGAATTCTCGTTAGTGTCCTTCATTTCTTCGCCTTTTTTGTTTTCGTGACCGAAGGTCTAGGATCCCCCGTGGAATGTTCCTGCATCGGCTCACTTTCACCGGAATTTTCAGGATATTTTTCCTTCTCAGGCTCTTTTTCTTTTTCTTTTCCTTGATTTCTTTCTTTAGCCTTTTGTGCTTTTTTCAATCGAGCTAAATGTCGATTTTGTTGGGCAATTCTTTTATTCTGCTGCGTGATAAGGTCCAGCAGGTGTTGGGGCGTCGGTGGGTTATCTTGATGTATGGAAAATGGTGCCACCGACGAAGCTAATTTTTCGCGGGAGGCAGGAGTCTCCTTCCGCTTTCCTTTGGAGCCATTCTGGGATTTGCTTCTAGTATCAACCATGTTTTTAAATTGAGAAATGATGGGTTCTAAATGATAGATCCCCACAGACGGCACCAATGATCATACCAAATACAATATGGACTAGCCAAAGTATGTCGGGCCTAATCACACACGGTTGATGTGGAGTGGATTCTCTTTTTCTTGGGCTTTGAGTGGTTGATCAGGATCAATGTGTTCTTGTCCTTTATTGGCGCAATGAGACTGGAGGGGGGGGTACCTGCGAAGACACTCTGCTTCTTAAGTCAGTATCAGAGGCAGGTGTATGTATGTTCTTAATGAATTAGATAGATGTACCTGAGTATGTACCCTCTGCTTATATAGCGGTTCTGATGCCGCCTTCATAAGGCGGTATGGCTTCTGATTGGCCATGTTTGGGCTGCAGGTCAGGCTAGGACCTAAGTAGCCTTATCTTCTTAGTGTCAAGCTATCTTGATAAAGTCGCGGCGAGCTGGTGCTGTCCTCGCTTATTAGTTCTAAGGCGCGATGAACTTACCTTGGTTTTTAAGTTAGCTTCCTTATCTCTGGATCTTATACCAAAGGGAGGTTTCATGCGCGATGGGGGCATTGCGTCTTGCTATGCACGCGATGTTGACCTTCGCGCTTAATTATGGACCGTTTATGAGTTAGGGCTCCTTTGTATGTTATTGTGCCTCTAATGGGCCTATATATATATATATATATATATATATATATATATATATATATATATATATATATATATATATATTGGTGTGGAGCCTATTATATTTTATCCATATCAGTTACTATATGAACGAGTATTTGAATTATGATGATTGATTTAAATTGATTAACTTTGACATTTAAAATAATTGTTTTGATTAAGTAGACTCGTAGTATTTAAAGCTATTTCCGCACAATTTCGGAACACCGACCAAAATGTCACTGTTCACCAAGTTTTTTACCTAAATGCCACGCGAACAGTGTTATTTCTCAATCTGCCACGGAGGAAAGTTCGCTACTGGTGTAGCGAACTCGGTTTGCTGACGTGTCACATTTCTAGTGAATAACAAGTACCAAGTTAAAAAAAAAAAGTATGAAGTTCGCTAAAATTTCAAAAAAGACCTATATTAGTCCTCAAAAGGACTAAAATGGGTCCATTTTGAATTTCTTAGGACCACGATGAACCTTTTAATTTGCTAGGGACTAAAGTGGACGTCATAAAATTTGCTGAGGACCAAAAAAGGTATTTACTCTTATTCTTTTTTCAATTCAGTCCATAACTGATTGCCACGTGTCCCAAGAACTTTTTGATAAAAAATATATATATATATTTTTTTGTAAATTGATAAAAAATATTCGCAAAAACTCCAGTGCGCTAAATTCATTTATCACCGGTGAATCAGCCACATATTTACATCAATAAAAATTTATTAGCGGAATGGAATGTCATTAAACCAAGTAATTATTATTTCTATCAATTACTCCTTTCTTTTGTTTTCTTTTCTTTTTATCGGAATTTTCTTTGGCTTTAATATTTCTACAATAGATAAGTTATCTACTTTCTTCCCTAAACGACATAGTTTTGGTTTGAAAAATTAAAAAATTATAATGAAAAAAATTATTATAACCTAAAACAAATTATAATTATAAAAATATCTTGATTTTCGCCTCAAAATGACGTCGTTTCTGGCTCAATGTAAATAAGTTATCTACGTTGACTATAGAAAAAACGAACCCATTTTTTTTTTCAAAATAAACTTTGCTAGCACCAAATAAGAATAAGTGTAAAATAAGATGCATAATGCTACATTATTTAATGTAAAGTTATCTAAAGTGAACTCAAAACAATGTCGTTTTAGTGGTATAAGATTAAAAAATTATAATAATAAAGACTAAAATAACCTTGTAATATATTATAATTACAAAAATACCATAATTTCTGCTTCAAAACGACGTCGTTTTAAGCTCACTGGAGATAACTTATCTCCATTGACTGAAAAAATTCTTTACCTTAATGTAATTGTTTATGTTTGTAACACATTTATAAATTTCGTTTCAAAGTATAAATTGAGCTAAAAGTTTTATACAAAGATTAAACATTTTCAAGTTTGATTGAACATAACTATATTTGGTTAAATTACTGTCAAATTATACTAATATTGTTTTATTTTACTCAATAGAGATATCAAGAAATAATAACAAAATAAATAAATAAATACTCTTTTAATTTTTAAAACAATTAAAATATTTTTTTTCCTAAAATAGGTAATACTTTAAAACGAAAAGAATATTACTAATTATATTAAATATTTAGAATATACTAAGTAAAATAATGTAGATATTAATTTTGCTGCTAATGGAAAATAATGGGTGTGAAAATGATGTTTAAAATAAAAAAAATGATAAAATGGTGGTAGTTGACGCATAAGAGCTGAGTAAGTGGGAGTCAGAGTATGTATTCGATCCTCTTATGCCACCTTTGAAAGGAGTTTAAAGCTTTAATTCTGAAATTGTCCCGAATCGAATTAACCGCGAAGCGATGAATCGATTGAAATATTTTAAAAAAAATAAAATAAAATAAATATGTGACCACTTAAAAAAAAGTAAGATATCAATGCACAAAATCAAATTTTATTTGACTTTTGAAAAAAGATAATGGAAATTGGGTATGGATGCAAGAGATTAACGTGTCTTTCATGAAATCTGAAAATAAGATGCTTGTAACTCTTCCACACCACACGTCATTTTTTGAGTGGCTAAAATGCTCCACATGGTATTAAGATTATCTAGTGTTTGAGATAAAGCCACAATATATGTAAAGTAACTCAACCACAAATTCCACAATTCACAATCAACACTGTTCTCTTCCAAACCACAATAACTGTGATGGCTCTTTCCTATTCTGCAGATTGGTCTCTAGCTTACACTAAATGTTGCAGAACAAACCATGTTCATGCATTCATCCCAACAAGCCACTTCCCTTCCTTGTACACTGTTTCAGGTTCCATTCCACGGTTTTTCCATGTAAATTTCTCAGCCTCTCACACACCTATCTTAGAAGAAGCATCTTCCAACACCCCCATGTTCCATTTTGATGTTAACTTTGATGCTGATTCTCAACAATGTTCCAAACCAGGAACTGAGAATTTGAACGAGTTTTTATGTGGGTTATTTGAGGATCCAAAAACTGAGGAACTGGCATTTGACTACTATCAAAGATTGAAAGATAGACCAGAGTTTAGACCACATAAATCAACTTGGAAGCATGTGATCAGGTATTTGTTGAGATTGAAGAAATGGGATTTCATTTTATCAGTTTCTGAAGACTTTAAGATTTATCATGTGTTGCCGGATAGAGATATTTGTTCTAGATTGATTACTTTTTGCATTCAGCATAGGAAATTCAAGATTGCTGAGGCTCTTCTTGATGCTTTTAACTCTGATAGTGATGTTTCTGTCTTAGCTTTTGGTTCTGCAATGAGAACTTATAATAAGCTGCATATGTTTAGGAGCACTGTTTTAGTCTTTGAACGAATGAAATCCACTGGTTTAGTTCTGGATTCCAGTGGTTATTTGCACATTATGGAAGCTTACTCGAGGCTTGATGATTGTGAGAGTGTTGTTCAATTGTTCCATGAATTTGAAAATAGGAAGTTGAGAGACTCAAGAAGATATTTACCTCAAATATATGGGATTCTATGTAAGTCATTAGGGAATTCTGGAAGAGCTTTTAAAGCACTTGAGTACTTCAGAGAGATGACTAAGAAAGGAATTTCAGAATATTCTATTTACTCTACCTTGATATCCTCTTTTGCAAGTTTGCGCAAGGTTGATGTGGCTGAGGAACTTCTAAGAGAAGCTAAAAGCAGAACAAAGATAAAGGACCCTGAGGTCTATTTGAAGCTTGTGCTTATGTATGTTGAAGAAGATTTATTGGATAAGACTTTGGAAGTTGTGAAGGCAATGAAAGATGAAGGTGCCAAGGTTTCTGATTGTATATTATGTGCTGTTGTCAATGGCTTCAGCAAAAGGAGAGGATTTTCAGCTGCAGTTATAGTTTTTGAGCAGCTAATTTCTCAGGGCTATGAACCAGGTCAAGTCACCTATGCTTCAGTTATAAATGCCTATTTCCGTCTTGGGCAATATAGCAAAGCAGAGAAGGTGTTTTCAGAGATGGAACAAAAGGGGTTTGATAAATGTGTTGTGGCTTATTCAAGCATGGTTGTGATGTATGGAAGAACTGGGAGGTTAAGAAATGCAATGAGGTTGGTTGCTAAGATGAAAGAAAGAGGGTGCAAACCAAATGTGTGGGTTTACAATTCCTTGATAGACATGCATGGGAAGGCTAAGAATTTGAGGCAGCTAGAGAAGCTATGGAAAGAAATGAAGAGAAGAAAGGTAGCACCAGATAAGGTGACTTACACTAGCATCATTGGTGCTTATAGTAAAGCAGGTGAGTTTGAAACATGTGTAAAACTTTTTAATGAGTATAGGATCAATGGGGGAGTGATTGATAGGGCCATGGCAGGTATAATGGTTGGTGTGTACTCAAAGATTAGTCAATTTGATGATTTGGTAAAACTTTTACTAGACATGAAAATGGAAGGAACAAGGTTAGATCAAAGGCTATATCAATCTGCTTGGAATGCTTTTGCAGAAGCTGGGTTGATCTTACAAGCAAAATGGTTAGAAGAGAGCTTTCATATAACATAAGAGTATGCTCTCTATTGCAAACATTGGACAAATCTATCAGCTATAAATAATGTATAGTTTTGAGGCTGAAAAGCTCTGGTTTTGTACAATTTAGCAATCTGACTTCTTTATTGTATTCTTCACTAAATTTCTCAATTAGTGTAGCATAGCCATAGCCTCCTTTACAAAGTTCTTTCTTCTAATGGACTACATCTACATGTCAGAAATTTTTAACTTCCAACAAATATTTTTAATTTTAACATAGGGTTTGTTTTTTCTAAAGTTACTTTAGATAACTTTATCTACTGTTCACCGAAACGACGTTGTTTTGGGGCGGAAATCACGGTTTGTTTGTAATTTTAATTTATTTCAGGATTATAACAGTCTTTATCATTCTAATTTTTTTATTTTTTAACCCCAAAACAATGTCGTTTTGGTGAACATTAGACAAAATTATCTAAACTATTATAAACTTTTTTTCCTTTAACATAAACTAAATTCGTGTCAGAATGTGATTGCACCGACTGTCACATTAGTAACAAAATGGCCCAAACTATAGGTATGCAAAATTTAAAAACGTAGTTCAAATCGTTGAATATAAAGTGACAACCAAATAACATTCACACAAATAATATGATCTTCGTTTATAAATATAATAGGAAACCAACGTCAACAACACATTTATTCCAAACTAGTTGAGGTAGATAAATATAATAGCAAAATAATTTAAAAATATTAATTTTTTAGGTTCTACAAACTTACAAAGATAATAATAAACGAAAAGTTTAGTACCCCAGATGAAAAAGAACCATGAAAAGTAAAGGCATTAATTATTACAGGAGCATGGAATTAAGTGCAGCTTGAATAGATATCAAATGCAGGATCATGTAAATCACCACGCCAACAAAGCCAACACTAACAGAAAGTAACACTCTGAAGCAGTAATATGGAACTGAGGGATACATGGAGTTCCAACCAGCATGAAAGTTCCCATTCCTTTCCATTATTCCAACTGCTAGTGCTGCTGAGCAACTTGATGAGAATATCACAAGCAAAATCTAGTAATAACAACATCAACCAATCAGAAAAAAAAAAACTCATGCTTAGAAATATGACTAAATCGTTATGCTAAACTATTTTTTTTTAAGACAAGAAAACTTCTATGCTAACTAAAGCATAAGAATTTATTATATTTCCCTCAAGCTATATTTATTTTTAGGATTTAATGTTTTTCATGTTGTAGGAGATAAATTTATCCACTACGCACACATAAAAGTGTGTGGGACCTATATGAGTTCATGTGAAGAGAAGAGGAATAAAAAGAAAATACAGACCCATACACTTTTATTTAGGTTACAACACGAGAAATATTAAACCCTTATTTTTAACACTGAATAATCTTTATGAGGTGAAGAGAGTTTGAGTGATGCATATAGAGTAGTAGTACCGCATCCAAAGCAACAATGAATCCCCATAATTTGCTTTCAGATGGAAGAAAAGCGAGCAAAAAGCTGTAAGCAGCAAGCACATAATTTGCAAATACGAAGCACCTGTAACAAAGCACACCCAAAGTGAACCAATGAAATGCTAATTAACCATATCAATTTATTTCTATTTGATTAACGTTTGACCAAATCTTAGTTATTTGTTCCAGTAAATATCGGTCAAATATATATAATTTAAAAAAGGGAAAAGTTCACCGATGCTCCTCTGATTTGCTTCAGAAACACTTATTTCCCTGTGGTTTTTTTTCTATCACATATGCCCATGTGGTATGCAAAAGGGTATATTTTTTATCACATATGCCCCTGTGATTTTTTATTTTTTACAAAGCACAGAAACATGTGTGATAGAAAGAAAAACCACAGAAGTGTAAGTGATTCTGAAGCAAACCACAGAAACATAAGTGAACTTTTCCCTTTAAAAAAAGAACATATTAGTATATAATTTGTGAAGATGTACATATTGATTATTTTATTTTTTAATAAATTGGTGACAAAATGATTAATAAGCAAATCTTTCAAAGAATAAATTCAATTTCAAAGTAAATGTAGGATGAACTTGTTGTACTTACCAATAGGGTGCTAAGTCGCCAAAAGTCACATCTACTACAGGAGCATCTAAATAAAGTGCTGTTTGATGTGCCTGAAGCATGAGAGTGGCCGCAGTAACGGTAACGGCAGTGGCAACAATCCTCAAAGAACGTGGAATAATGCCAGCGTTACCAGACATGACTTGTTTTCTAAAAAACACATCAAATTAACCACAAGGTAATAAATAAAGGGTCATAAGATCAAATTGTTATTAAATTTATGGCATCTATTAATCTTATGAGATAATTATTCTCATGCAACAGAGACAAGATAGTGGAGTCCACTATTTGTAAAAAAACAAAAAAGAAAAAATAATGTGAACTCCATTACTTTGTCTTTGTTTATTTTCCTAAATTTATTTCACATACAAAGTAAAGTAATTAATTCACTACTACAAAAAAAAAAGGTACTTAATTCACAAATTGTAATTTGTAGTCAAGCCACTGAACACTCAGTGTCTTGCTTCACTTGTAGTTACCTTCTAAGATCTCTTTCTTTATCATATAAATCAAATTAAGCAAAAGCATTGCTCTAGATAGTTAATTTATTTTTGAGAGAATTGCATGAGTCAATAAGTTCAGTTTATCTCAGCCCAAGTGAATGTCATATAAATAAAAGGAAACCATTTGGTTTCATCAAAATTGAAATTCAGAGACAACAAACATAAGACCAAATCAAAGATGTGTCCTACCTTAGGTGTATTTTGGGTTCATAAATGTGGCTTTGAAATTTTGACATATTATTCAAATATTGGTATTTTAATATAGACGAAGAGAAAAAAAGAAGAAGAAGAATGAAAACAGAATAATATTGCATATACAAAGAAGAAAAAGAATAAAAACATAATAATATGCCAGAAACATAATAAAAAGAATGAGATGAGACAAATGAATCTGAAACACAAAATTTTCAACAAATATTGCATTGAGATAGCACAAGATAAAACCAAAATCCAAAAATAGAATAAAGAAATTTGAAATCAGAAAACCTAACAATTAAAAATATGTATAAATTATTATCCTCTTATTATGCGTACATGACTAGAAACAAAAACAAAAACAAAAACAGTATTGTTGAGTGTATTAGTTATAGTTTGTTTTTGTTTTTATTTTAATTAATATATATCTATTAATAATTAAAAATCGGTACTTTGATTTCACTTTGTTTTATATTTTCATGAAACAAAGTGAAAACACATGAACTAAAACAAATACAATGCATCCTTAGTTTCTCCAAAATTGTTCAAAAAACTCAAAACCTTTACATTTGAATTCCAGAACAGAAATTTTATTAACTATGATATACACAAACAAAATACACAAAGATCTCATAGATGAACACAAATAGATGTACTTCATCGAAAATGTCAACTAACAAAAGAAATAAACTGATTCGCACACCTGAGGATCGTGTAGATAAATAGTATGGTAGATGATGATTTCAAATTCAAGAACAACAATTGCTATCGAAATTTGCCTAAGTATTTTATCAGAAACCCACTAAATAGATAGGCTCTAACTTGAGCTCTCTTCTTTTTTCTTCTCTCTATGTATATGTGCCTTTGTGCTATTCCTTCTTTGCTTTGGCCAATGTATATTTAAATTCTCAATCAACTCTTGAATTGAAATTTTTTTCTATCAATTCGTATCATCCTATTAATTTTATTCCAAATTCGTACGCTTAGATTACGATTTCTTATGTATAAAAAATCATTGATTTATTTATTTCTTTAATGTCTATGTTTAATCATGCACTAATTGATTACAGTGCAAATCTTTGATTTATTCTATCCCAGATTACCGTCACTAATGTAGCTGTTATGGATTGGACAAAAGTCCATATTCTAAAAGGAAAATTAAAAAAAGATTCATTAATTATACCAATCCTAATGCAATAACTATGGATCATGAATTGGAATCCCAATATTCTTAGGAAACCCAAAAGTCCGCTCTTAACAGATATTATACAGGGATCCACAAATCTTTAAGGTATCTCCTTCGTAGATACATGAAAGGAGGTACACAGATCCAACAGAAACATATCAGCAATCAGCAAGACATCTTTGTCATCAAAACAAAATATTAGCACTATTATTATTTTTTATTTTGTTTGATTATTTCTTTATTCAATTTTGTATATCTGGGCTTTGAATTGACCAAAAATATGTTACAGCTGGACTTCTAGCTAGAGGTGTCAAAATGTGATAAAACCCGTGGGTCAGCCCGCAAAGTATTATATTTGGCACTAACCCATTAGGGTTTTTTTGTGGTAGGGCCTTTTTTAGCCCTAACCCCTCAAAGCTCTATAATTTAGAGGGCTGGGTTAGGGCTGACCGTGGGCCAAACTTTTTCTTTCATCAAAATTTTTATTATTTAAAAAACTAAAAATTATATAAATTTAAATATTTATAAATACAAGTAAAAATTATTGTGAATTTGATGGAGAATATAAGAGAAAGTGAAATATGAAAGTAAGAAAAATGAAGTGTAGAAAAAAAATAAAAGAAATAATAAAATAAGAATAAGTATGAGCAAAGAGTCCTCCTATATAAAGACTTATCTTAGATGCATTTTTAAACATAAAAGTCATGAAAAAATAAAGAGTAACATGTTATGAAACATGTGAAAGTCATTCATAACCCATGTGAAAGGTCATCCATAATCCATGTAAAAAGTCATCCATAATATTTTACAATACCCATTTGAAAGTATTCTACAATTCAACACACTTTTAGTGTGATGATTATAAAATATGTGAACGGTCATGAAAAACAAAGAGTCACGTGTTATGAACCATGTGAAAATTCATCCATAATATTTTACAGCAAAAATGAATTTTCAGTAGTGATATGTTTTAACAGAGATTCTCATCTGCGCATCAATAAAAATAAAATTTTCTATTGACATCTAAGCATGTTATACATCCAAATTTGTATTGAAACATCTATATATATATAAATCTATATATATATAAAGGAGAGTTCACTGCTGGAAAGTTTTGCCAAGTGTCACTCCCTGGTTAATTCTACAATTTGGTTATTTACAAACTTTCTTTATTGGGTCAATTGGAAAAAAAAAACTCTTTTAAAAATTGAATTTTAATTTTTAAATCGAATAATAGTTGCAGATAAGGCATTGAGTGTCCCACTGCCCATCACATTGGTATCCAAAAAAAAATCACCTGTTTTAATTGCTTTTTATGTTGGAATTGGTCATCTCATCTGAAATTCGAAATTTTAAATAGTTTATCAATTAAATTTCAAAATTATGTATTTATTTTGCACAATCTGAAATTCGAAATTTTAAATTCAATAAAAAGAAAACTCTTTTCACGGACATGCATTCACGATCTCTATTCATGGAGATCAATAGAAACACAAACAAATTTCACAATTGTTGAAGACCTGATCGTCATTCAATTCACAATTTCGTTATGGTTATTTTTAAAAAAAAATATATACAATAATGATATAACAAAGACATTATCTTTGTTATATAGACATTATCTTTGTTATATATTTGATTCAAATATCATAACAATCAAGAATCAAGAGAGTTGACAGACAAAATAAATTAAATCCCAAAACCAAAAATATCATACCAATATTCTTTTAAAAATTGAATTTTCGAAATTTTAAATGGTTTATCAATTAAATTTCGAAATTATGTATTTATTTTGCACAATCTGAAATTCGAAATTTTAAATTCAATAAAAAGAAAACTCTATCAGATAAACTATCATACCAATATTCTTTTAAAAATTGAATTTTCGAAATTTTATTTATAAATAACACAATCGGTGGTCATGTGTTGCAGATTTTGTGTGCAGTTGAGAGTTGTGGATCACACTGATTCTGCATCTTTCATTCTGTTTGATAGAGATTGTGTTGCTTTGTTGGGCATGAGTGTTGCGGATTTACGTGAGCAGCATTTTTTTGCAGGGTGATGATTTCGAGCACTATCCTAAGTAGGGGTGGCAATACGGGTCAACCCGACACGACACGACACGTTTTCGACCCGTACACTATTTGACACGACCCTGAAACGACCCATTTTGTAAACGGGTCACAAAACACGAACCCTGACACGACTCGTTGCGGGTCACAGGTCGACACGACACGACCCGCAAAATTTAAAATTAAAAAAAAAAGTGGGATTTTTTTGAAAAATAAATAAATTAAAAACAATAAAAAATAAAAAAAGATTAACTTCTGTTTCTTGAGATTTTTAGTTCCTTGTATTCTTTTCTATACCAAAGAATGACTATATATATCAATATATAAATGAATAAAAATAATAATATAATAAAATATTTAATTGAAAATTAAAAAAATGACACTGCGGGTTGACACGCGAACCCGCGGGTTGACACGTGACCCGACACGAAAAAAAGGGGTCACATTTACACAACCCTGACACGACCCGCCCTGACCCACGGGTTGACACGACACGTGATTTGGCGGGTCGGGTCACGGGTCAACCCGCAGGTCAATACCTGTATTGCCACCCCTAATCCTAAGGAACTTAATGTTCTTATTGATAAATCCATGTTGTTTAAAGTGAATGTGAAAAAAAATAATTTGGACTCATACAGTGAGCCTAGGTATCAGATTTCTAAAGTATGCAAAAGCGAACCTGTAATCACATCCTTCCTTAAGACTGTTGTGGATACGAATGTGAGTTATTTTTTTATTAACATTATTATTTCTATTTAGGTTTTGTTGTTCTCATTCTGCGTTTCAATGGATTTGATTTTTTTCAAAATATTTGTTTTAAATGCAGGATGAAGGATTATTTGACAAGGCTTGCGACAGTGTCGTTGCATCAGCAGAACCGGAAAGAGCTACGGTATCTCGAAATTATTGCTTATGAATTAATCAAAAAAATGTTGCATGCAGTTTTATTGCAAAACATAAGTTAATTTCAAACAATATTTGTTTCTGACAAGGATATGGAAAGTCAGACGTGTGATAGTGCAGACGTTGGTGATATTTCGCTATCAATGCTGACGCCGTTAATGAATCCTAATGATCTCCTTTAAGATGATTTTAATTCATCAGTTGTCTGTCTTCCTAAGAAGATTAAGCTAGAAAAAGAGTTGAGTATTTACCCATTATTTTTTTTCTTTGTGTAGCTTTTT